TAATTTTCAATATCAATTGGTAGTATTTAAAAAGCGCGGTAAAAATAATCAGTGTCTTATATCGGTGTAATACATTTATCGCTAGATGGCGCCAGTCAGTAGTTCCATAGCTGATATAGGTATTCAGTTAGACGGTCTCCTTATCACAATTCGATGTGTAACCAGTATATCTTAAATCGTGGCTAACACTTAACATTAATCATACCTATACCTAATTAATATTAATATTTTTTTCAATAATATAAAATTAAATAATAACACCTATACGGCTATACATTTTATCTCAAGGCATTTAATTTTAAATTTAATTAAATTTGTTGTATAGTGTATACTAGGTATTCATAGGTTTACTTATATTTTAAATTAGGTAAATATATTTATTTATATTTTTAATATTTCTAATTAATCAAAATAAGTTTAAAAATGATATAGTATTATATTTTGAATTTCTTTGTATTTTATACTATTATACCTTAAACATATCGCAAGTCGTTCCGATGGTGAAATTGGGATGCGAAAATGAGTTGGCATTTTACGAATTTCATTTTCAATCAAAGCCAAAACTTCGTCATAACATTCAGGAGTCATTCTGAAGTACATATAAAATCTTGCCGGATCTATTCTTAATTGAGGTATTAAAGTATTGTACTCGCCAAATAATTCACGATCTTTATTAATATTGTGAACCCAACATTTCCTTTTTTTCTTTCTAAATGATGAAAATATTATTTATTTATTTATTTTTAATATTAATATTAATATTTTTTAAATATGTAGGTATCTAGTTAAATTAAAGTAAAATTACTCATAATTTTCTTCGTCCGCAATAATTGCTGCCAAAATTAAAATTTCATCATCATCTTCTGATTCCGATATGTAAACATTCATTTTAAAAAAAAATTGTACGTGAGGATTAAAAAAACAGTGTCCTATAACGGCTATAACACAAAGATGTTAACAATGAATCGTACCGTAGAATGTACTGAGGTGATATGATGTCTTAACAATACTATAGCCTATAGGTAGTTACTATAGCGTATAGTACTATTCTCGTTTTTATATTCGGGTGTCTAGGTAAGTACACTTTATTAATATACACAGAGGATTATATAATGGACACATTCTTGATAACTCTAAAGTGGCTTACACACTAGGCGATTAATCGCGCGCGTACCGCGTTTCAAAAACGCGGCGATTAATCGCGCAAAATAAAATGTGTGTATTTATATCAGTACATTCACACGAGGGCGATTAAACGCGACCGATCGCGTTGGTTTAATTTTGAGCGATTTGTCGCGACTGATTTCTAAAATTAACTTACGGGATAACCATGTTATTATACACACTAGGCGTTCGGCTGGCGATTAATCGCTGCGATTTCCTCATTCCTGTGCAGTGTGCTTGTCCAGTCTTCGTATTCGGTGCGTGTTGTGCTTGTGCATAGTGCATGTATCATGGATACCGAGCAATTCATAAATAGTATTTATGAAGAACAAGCAATTTGGAATAACGGTAAGTAAAATTTGTTAAACTAACTTAAAATCGTGTGGTAGCTAAAACAGTGGCGTATTTACGGGGAGTGTAATCCATAAGGTCTAGACTCCAGACCCCCCCTTGATATACAATATTGTTAAATTATTGTTACAAGTTTACAACCAAGTTAAAAATTATCTTGTCCCTCCCTATGCAAAATTCCGTAAAACAGGGTAACATGGGACATTTTTATTGTACTTGTGAAAAACTATATATGAGATGAAACATGCGTATCCGCTTAAAAATTGTAAAATTTTTATTAATTTTAAAAAAGTATGTAGCAAAGCTACATAGTACTAAGAGTAATATACTAGGAAATATAACTTCAGTCTTAATTCTTTATAGACTTTTAAGAGAAAACAACTTAAAAATTAACAAAATTATAAAATAAAAATAAAAAATATTAATTTATAGAATAAAAGACATTTGCCTATTTAATATAAATAATAATATTAACAACAACATTTTTACATATGATAAAAAAAACCAAACAGTCAAATAAAAATTGGGCAGGCCCGGGCCTAGTTGACCTACCCTGTAAACATGCCACTAAATAGGTGAGGTATACTGTGAATAATTTAACTTTGAAATTATCCACAAATTATAATATTACTATATTACATCACCTTCACCTACCTTTTTAATATTCAAAATAAGTTAGGACAGTTAGGTATTAAAATTGTTTAACACCTATTCTTTTTAAAGAGTTGAAAGATTATCACAAGTTAGATGTGAAGCATGTTAGTTGGAGCAAAGTGGCAAAATCATGCTTCCCAAATTTTGATGATTTGGATGAAAAAACAAAAAAAGTCAAAAGTAAGTACCAACCTATCAATTGTATATAGTTATAATATTTTATATTATTAAATGCCAATGAACTGTGTAGTGAAAAGTAATAAAAACACTTTTTTTTTATAGATTATTTATAATATGCTTTTAAGACAAGTATCAAAGTTATTCAAATAATATAATAAGATCAATTAAATATTTTAAATTAATAAATTTCATAAAAAAAATCTTGTAATAATGTAAGTATACATAAAATAATATTAAATGTATTATTAAATCAATATTCTAATTAATAATAATATTAAAAATACATATTACTAACATCCAATCACCCAATTACTTTGTTTTGCCAGCTTAAAATATTTCCAGGGGAGTTTATATAATCAACAAAATATTCTCTCACTTCTTTGGCTTCAAACAAGGCATTTCCGACACCTTTTTTGATAGTGTAGCCTTCCATTTTGCAGTTAAATGTATCTTCTACACTGAAACCATCTCTGCGGCGTACAAAGTTATGGAGAACACAAGCGGCTTTTGTAATTTTGACTGCAAAATCTGGAGATGCTAAAATAAATGTATGAAATATTCTCCATTTATTACTTAAAATACCAAAAATACATTCAATGTTTTGCCTCGCTCTTGATAGCCGATAATTGAATGTTCTCCTTTGATCATTTAAAGATTTTCCTGGGAAGGGACTTAGTAAATGTTTATTTAATGCAAATGCCTCATCACCAACAATCACATATGGTTGAGGTATACCTTTTTCATCTCCAGGTAAGACATTGTCAGGTGGAAAATTAACTTTATCAGCATAAAGATTTTTTCCAAAAACTGATTTTTTAAATACATTACAATCACTTTCCTTACCGTAGGAGCCAACATCAATAATCCGAAAACAATAATCAGCATCACATATAGCAAGAAGGATAAGGGAATAAAAGTGTTTATAGTTAAAGTACTGTGATCCACTATTTTTTGGACATTCCAACCTTACATGCTTTCCATCGACTGCACCAACACAATTTGGGAATTGAGTTTTTTCATAAAAACTTTTAGAAATTTGCAGCCAGTCTTCTGTGGATGGTACAGACATTTCTCTAGGTTGCAAAACTTTCCATAAAACATCACATGTTTCTCTTATAATATTAGAAATTGTTGAAACACCCATTAAAAAATCAAAATGCAGTGCTGAAAAGTTGGTTCCAGTTGCCAAATATCTAAAAACAAATAAATTTTCTTATAAAATAAAAACTAAACCATATTTCAATATTTGTATTTTATTGTGAGTATAAAAGTATACAATACAGTCTACCTATAAACATTTTCTAAATGTATAAATAAGTTATTTATTTTAATACGCTTAATTTAAAAAAATATAATTTTAAATTGAATATCATCTTACTGAAAAGCACTAAAGTTAGTAGATTTGATTAGAATATATTACAAACAAATAAATAAATACCAATTTGAGTAAATTTTTAAAAATATATTGTTGACTAGACTGTTGTGAATGAAATTATATTCAAATATATATACTATTTTTATGTTACTTAAATATTGGTATTGGGTAGCTGGTATTCAATTTAAAAACAATTATAATTATTTTTTTATTTTTGCAGTTGCTTTCCTAAAAAAGAAATGGAAGTCACTCAGAGATAGCTATAGAAGGAAGTGTGTCACTAAATCTGGCCAGGCCAGAACAAATGAGAAGCCCTATGCCTACAGCAAAATGTTAAGTTTTTTGCGTCCAACTATGACTAATCGAGAGTAAGTTCATTCATATAAACCAATTTTAATATGCCGGTGGAACATGATATAAAGAAATCTGAATTGTAAGGCACCCCTCCACATATTTTCAGCCACTTTGACCATTACCATTCATAAATAACAGATAAAAATTAAATGTTTATATACTGCAATTAATATTTTTAACATTGTCCTGAATTTATTAAAAAATGTAATATGTTTTTAATTTAATGTACTACCTATTATTTATAGAACTGAAAGTAATGTTAGACACATAGA